CATTTCTCCTTGGTCTTCCGAAATGGGAGAGCCCCGCCATCTTTCTCATCGGCTCTCTTATGCAGCTAGCTTACTGCTGGTGAGGGCAGTGTCCCTGTGTCCACTGGGCAATAATTTTTCTTCCCTTTTGTGGTCATAACAGTGTTTCAGGGATACCTTGAAACGATAACTTTTTAAAAACTTTGCTCAATTAAGAAAATCTTACGTGGAAGTTGGTGGACACAGATTTAAGTCACTTTAACTTAGGAATCATGAAATGCCAGGCAGAACTTGAAAAAACAGGAATGAATGTATAGGATCATGGCACCCTTTAATTGACTATCCTTTTGCTGACTTTTTCTTTACAAATGGAAGGTCTTTGATTACGAGTGCTTTTGCCGCCGTGCAGGTGCTAACTAGATGTTAACAAAGTCAAGCTTCAGTTAGTATCGATTCATACTGGGACTGCGTTATCCCAGGGCTGAGCTGGAGCGCTTGCCTGCTTGTAATGGGGCAACTTCCTGTCCGAGGAAACATGATTCACTCAGTAAGGGGGATAAAACTGCCCTCTTCAGAAGATGCTCCCTCCACAGCAGGCACTTCCCCAAACCCCAGAGCCAGATGAGATTCTGAGATGATTGCTTCAGTGAGGAAGGAAATAATGAGGCTTGCATTTCGCTTTGGACTAGGAATGCTGCTGCGCGGGTCCTGAGCCCCTTCGTGAAAGGCCGTGGGGCTGAGGTGGGCCCAGGAGCTGCGTCTCTTGAGATGATGATTAAAGGCCCTCATTTAAGTTAGGCTCAGATTTAGATTTACTTACATTTATTTATGGCTTTAAGCCACACCAGGTTTTCAACCAAGTTACTAGAAGCACTTTTTACCAAGTTGAGTTTCTGTCCTTGTAAAGCTGAACTCTTTCCCTGAGCCAAATTAATAAAATGGAATTTCTTATTAAGAATGAATTATTAAGTTAAATGGAATCACTGGGCTGGGAAGCAGTTGATGCAATTTGTTTTCAAAGCTGTAAAAGTGCTGCAGTGTGCATAGATCACAAGGACTGGCGTAAGTGCCAAACGGGGCATTAATTTTCTTTCGTAGAGGATTCCAGGTTCACAGGATATCAGAAGTGCTGACTTGGCAGTGCCGTCCCATTTGTAACATGTTAGATCAGGAAACAGATTGATTTATACATTGATGTAGTGGATCCACGCCCTGTGTGTTCTTCAGAAAATGGAGGCGCATTGAATAAGAGCGTTTTCAGAGGAAAGAAGTGCAAACATCAGGGAACAAAACCGATCTGCCGTAGTCTAGGTAAGGTTGGCATCTGTTTGATCGGTTGGTTCCTAGACATGGTCCACAGAGGCTTTTTATATTTCAGATGATACCTTCCTGAGAGTCTCTTACGACCACAAGGATTAATCTTTCTGAACTCAAAAGTGAATCACGGCCGCGTATTAGCTGTCTGGAGTGATGCCAGTTACTCACTCTCCTTTCTTGGTGGTAACCGACGTGAGGGGCTGCTGCCGCTTCGCTGCCTCTTCCTGTTGCTTTAACCTCTGGCAGTTTCGACTCTCTTTAGGGAAGGCGATGCTGACCGTCTCAGCACAGAGATCAAATGCACTCATCACTGATGTATTGACCTTCGTGGTTGACCCATAAACTGAACATTTATACAGTTGGAACTCTTGCGGTCTTTTAGCCAACAGCCATAATGAGTAACATGTGGAACATAATCTTTGGTGCTGGTAAGTGGCTGCCTGCACACTTTGGACCACGCCACGTCTGTGGCTTGGATGAGCTTACATAACTTATTGACGCTGTTCCTTACATGATTTCATGTTTAGATTTAAGAGGTTAGCCCTCCCTCCCCCAAGTAGTTCTGCCACACCTGAAATACCATTTGTGTAATAGCTGCTTTTAATGTTAAAATATACAAGGCCAGGGGCTCCTGACTGGCTCAGTCAGTGGAGTGTGCGACTCTTAATCTCAGGGTTGTAGGTTCGAGCCTCATGCTGTGGGTAGAGATTACTTAAAATCTTAAAGGGATGCCTGGGTGGCTCAGTCATTTGAGTATCAGACTTTTGATTTCATCTCAGGGTCATGAGATCGAGCCTTGTGTTAGCCTCTGCTCCGAGTATGGAGCCTGCTTAAGACTCTCTCCCTCTGCCCCTTTAAAAAAGTCTTTTTAAAAATAAATAAAATATACAAAGCCATAGAGAGCCTTTAGGAATTACTGTTCCACATCTTTTAGATTTAACTGTGATGGTTTAATTATAGCAGATTTAGGAAACACTTTCCTTTCGACCTATTGCTTTGGCTTTCTTGCTTATATTTTATCATCTCTTTCTCGATTTTCTTTATTTCTGTCTCGGCTTTTGAAGTAGGAAGGAAAGAACTTAGGGAAACACTGGTTTTGGTTGATAAAAGTTTTCCTGGGGTTTCCTTGCCTTTTTCTTGGTTTTAACACATTTATGTATATCCATTTTCCTCTATATTGTAATCTAGCATTCTAGCCATAATCCTTCGAAACGACTCTCAAAAGCAGAACGGCCAATAGAAGAGGCATTTTGGTACACGTAATTGAACTCAGTGTGAGAATTAAACATATCTGTCTTGTGTGTCCTTACCCCTCATAATGATTGGTTTGAATTAATACACCATTAGAGTATTGCTTATAAATAAGTGTGTGTTCCTTTCCACAGGTATCCTTGAATGTTCTTTTTCTTTTTTCTAAAGATTTTACTTTTAAGTAATCTCTACACCCAGCGTGGGGTCTGAACTCACAACCCTGAGATCAGGATTTGCTTGATTCTGCTGACGTGCCAGCCAAGCGCCCCTCTTCTCTTTTTCTTATCAGCCTGTAGCTTTATATGCAGTTATCTGGAATCCTAAGATCTGCCTTCTCCTTTAATAAATGATTAATCGTCACAGTAGGGCTATAATCAATTCCAGTTGATAAAGTTGCTAATTGTTCTCTTCTTTGGATTTAATTGAGGTGTTTTTTCCAACCCTGATTGATCTTGGCAATATTTTCAACCCACATTAGCTTTCTCCCAGTTATCCAACAAGTGTCTGTGCTTTCTTCTCTTGTCCTGGTCAAAAGTGGGCTTTTTTAAATAAGCTCCTACGCTAAATGTGTGGAGGCTGGCGAATTTTTCCTGGAGGAAAGGTCATAATGTATTCCAAAATCAGTCTCCTGATTGGAAGGACCATTAATGTCCATATCATCCATCAGCACAAATAAATGAGAGTTGCTTAGAAAGCGCATATTTTCTATATATTATAAAAGTCAAAGCTACCCTTTCTGTTAATTGAAAAACCATTTTATGTTAATTGCTCTTTTTAAAAAGAGCAACACAACAGACCATACAATCTTTAACCCTATACACCAAGTTTTTAACATTTTATTTTCTTATGTTTTAAAGATTTCATTTATTAATTTGACAGAGACACCAGAGAGAGAGGGAACACAAGCAGGGGGAGCAGGAGAGGGAGAGCAGGCTTCCCGCTGAGCAGGGAGCCCAGTGTGGGCCTCGATCCCAGGACCCTGGGATCATGACCCGAGCAGAAGGCAGCTGCCTAACGACTGAGCCTCCCAGGTGCCCAGTTTTTAACATTTTAAAAAACTGTTTAATTTTTATTTTGAAAGAACATTTACATTAGGGGAGACTGCAAAACTCCATTGTGGATGTAGCTGTCAGTATTGGCGTAATTCTAGGTGCTGGGATGCCTGTTATCTCTAGAACAGGAGACTTTGTTAGGACCCTTACCTGTTATAATGCCTGAATGTTATTTCTCACCTGTAATTTGTGATCTGTTAGTGGCTATGATCTTTTCACAAAGAAGAGGATACTAACCAAAGAAACATAATGGAATCATTGATTATTTTCATCTAATACAAGATAAAATTGTTCATGAAATCCCTTTCAGTGTTCCGCTTCCATGAATGATACCGCCCCTCACTGAGGGATGCAAGCCATACTTGACATCTTCCTCACCGCCCCCCCCCCCAGTCTGTCCCCAAGTCTTGCCCCTTGTGCTGTCTCACCTCTCATATCTGTTTCTCTGCTGTACTGCCTTTAGTCCAAGGTACCATCTTTTCTCTCCCCCTCCTCCCTCTCCCCCTGCTCTCCCGAGTCCGCAGCTCCAGCTTCCTGAGCCGTCCCCTGCACATGCTTGTTCCCCTTCAATCTCTTTGCCATCCTGCAACCAGGAAAAAGTATCGCAGCTGCATTTTGAAAATATTAACTTTGTGCGTAAAACCTCCCAGCACCTCAGTGATAAAGACAGAAGGCCTTTCTTGGTCCACACACCTGTGTAGGCTTGTCCCTGCGTGCCTCTCCGTCCTTCTGCTTGCTCTCTGCCTCTGCTTTCTCTCCACATGGGAACCTCACAAGACTGCTCTTCAGGAGGCTTCCCTGACCACCTCTGTACCCCACCCTAAGTTCAGTTGCCTTCCTGTCTGCAGCTTCAGCATTGGGTTCTTTTCCTTTGTAGGACATCTAGGAATGTGATCACACTTTTCTTATGTGTGAGTATGGATTCTTGGGCTAGACTGTAAGCCCCATGAGAGCAGAGACCACAACTTTTTGCTCACTCTTGTGACCTAGGCATTTAGCATGTTGCTTCGCAGACTGGTAGCTGTTCAACAGAATTTTGTTGAGTGGGTGAATTACTGGAACTTTAGCTATTCTGCACTTTTGTGGCTTCCTAATTAAGGAATGGGAAGTAGATGAGCTCATATTAGTGCAGATTGCAGCTGGGTTATAGGCTCCCAAGTTAGAAGTATCCAGGTGGGGAGTGGGGGTTAGATTTTCCATCAACCTTTTGCTTTGGTCGTTTAAGTCCAACAGTTATTTTTTCTGGCCTAACTCCTAGGAAAATGATTTGTTTATGAAGATAAAAATAATAAATAATGAAATTTTAAAAGATCAGTTCTTGTCACACAAGCCATTGGATGACTGAGCCTTCGTGCCAGCTTTTTTGGAGTAAACATGGGTATTTTTCCCCCTCTTTGGTAGGCTCTTGCAGCCAATGCCGGAACAGGATTTGCTGTCGCTGAGCCTCAAATTGCAATGTTTTGTGGGAAGTTAAATATGCATGTGAACATTCAGACTGGAAAATGGGAACCGGACCCAACAGGCACTAAGAGCTGCTTTGGAACAAAAGAAGAAGTTCTTCAGTACTGTCAGGAGGTAAGAGTGTTTCTAGAATGGGAAAATGGCTTTTTCTTCTGGGTCAAGCTTGAAACTCTTTACCTTAGAAGACCAACTTGCTAATGACAGAGCCCCGGGCCTTTTATTTCTAAATATATATGACGGGACAGACTTGTCTCGTGTGCGCAGGGAGCTCTTGGTTCTTTTGGGAGGGAATAGTGCAGAGGCTGGGCGGGACCCATACAAGTAAAGCCTGGTTCTCTCGGCTTCCCACTTACTCTGGGAGGATGTGAGGCCAGACATGTCAACATGTCATGTGTATGCTAGTAAAGCCTGGTTCTCTTGGCTTTCCACTTGCTGATAGAAAGCCACAGTATTGGAAATGATAATCTCAGATCCGACTCAGCTTACCTTTTGGGTCAAACCTTGACCTAGGAAGGGATGTGGGATGTTTTAGCTTCTTACCAAGATTAGCATGGAGGGCCAGAGTTAAAATATTATTCTCTAATTTCATCAGCAGACATTTCCATGGACTTGCCTTTTTTTTTTTAAGATTTTATTTATTTATTTGACAGAGATCACAAGTAGACAGAGAGGCAGGTGGAGAGAGAGGAGGGAGCAGGCTCCCTGCTGAGCAGAGAGCCTGACGCGGGACTCGATCCCAGGGCCCTGAGATCATGACCCCAGCCGAAGGCAGCGGCTTAACCCACTGAGCCACCCAGGCGCCCGACTTGCCTTTTTTAATAGGTTTTTCTTCTCAGCTATTTACATGCATCCTATAAGTGGACTTGATACCTAATAGATTTATTTTGGGTTGAGAGCTTGCTGCTTTTACAAAAATAAATAAATATTTAATCCTTATTTAAACCTTAAATAAAGATTCCTTTTTATTTTTTTTAGAGAACACATTAGAAATGGTCAAAAATCAACCTGTCAAAAGGAAACTAATACTTACAGTATTCTTTTATTGGGTGAGTTCAGTTAGAACCAGGAGTAGGAGAGTGGAAGTTGAGATTTATAGAGCTTAATGATGACATGACATCAGGCATCCTTACTTGCAAACGAATGTCCATTTATTATGGACATTTATTTTGCGTGTGTTTTCTTTTCTTTGCAGATGTATCCAGAGCTACAGATCACAAACGTGATGGAAGCAAATGAGCCTGTCAGTGTTGACAATTGGTGCCGGAGGGACAAAAAACAGTGCAAGACGCACATCGTGATCCCTTTCAAGTGTCTTGGTGAGTGTCCTTTTGGTGCTTTTGGTTACAGGAACCTCCAGGAAGGGGACATTGCTCATTTTTACATGTAATGTTCTCTGGTCCCACAGTGAAATTTCTACATTAGTTAAGAAGCTGAGGGCTGCAGGAGTATATTGTGGGCCTCCTTTTTTGAATATTTACTGCTTTCTAGGGTAGATGGTTGATTGATCTTTGATGGTCATGACCTCTCCCATCGTGGGCATCCTCTGTGTTTTAAGGCTGGGCTTTTTGCACGGTTTGAGTCAGGGTGCTGTCCTGAGAGCAGCCCAGCTTTGCCTCACGCTGATGTTTGAAATTCCCGTTTTCCAGTCGTAGTAGTGAGTTGTACCGAGTAGCCCAAGGAATGGAGGCTTCTCTTCCTCTTACTTCGTCCTACACACATTTGGCAAGGTACTGAGAGCCTGTATTGCTGGCGAGGCCAGACTTGTGGGAGTTTTCAGAAGTGACTCAGCTCCCCGTGCACACGATCAGGGAGGCCTGGGCTAGGCCCTGTGCTGCCTGCTGTTCTGAAGGGCCCACAACCGCTGTGGGGGTGTCTGACCCTGTGGTTAATAGAGTTAACTTGACTAAAACTGAGCAAGAAATTTTTATTCCCCAGAAACAGTAGTTTCCAACGCTTACCTAGCTACTGCCTTCCTAGTCCCAACCACGCATCTCTGAGGCATCCACCTGTACTCACGTGTGTTTCGTCTGGGTGATTCAGGAGCAGACGTGGTCATAGAAGCTTAAAAGGTCAAAGTAATTGATTTTTGATGATGCATGATAGGATTAACGTAGATACAGCATGAACGGACATTCTGGGTAGTTCGTAGATGTATTTAATTTTAGCCATTAATTTAACTTGCTCTACTTCCTCCCTTCATTAAAGCCTTTCCTAAAATGGAATAAGTTGCTTTTCTCATTCTCACATGTATCAAAATAACAGGAAGAGTCCGCGCCTAAGTAACAGTGTGCCCAAGTAACAGTGTTTAAAATTCGTAGCAGTTACTGCTTTAAAGTATTCAGGAGAGGGGGAAAGAGGGACAGCGCAGGTGCTTACCACTGTTCACTTTAAAATGGAGGATTATGCAGTCCAGAGTGTGAGACCTAGAAACCTTTTGTGTGGTGTGGTTTTAAGGATGTTCTCCCATTCCATTTGGCTCTCAGAACTCTCCGGGAATGAGGTTTCATTCACTCTCTATAAAATTCATGAACTAATTGAAACAGGAGTGTATTTTTAAGAGTATTTGTAGACAAGAGATAGAGAGTAATTGCAGTCGTTTCTTCCCTTTGCATTGGTTCCCCCCCACCGCACCGGGACTTGGCCCCTGGTTGCCCCTCCTGCATGCTCTTTGTCGTGGCTCCACTCCTCACCCAGAGCTTTGGTCTAGAGATCTGGGAGCCCTCTCTCCCCACATCCAGTCAGTTTTGAAGTCTGATGCGTACCTCTTCAATACGGCTTCTCTGCATGGTTCCCAGACTGCACACTGAGACACCAAGGGCATTGGTATAAACTCAGGGTGTGAGCATTGTGGGGTATTTTTGATTTCCAAGGGAGACACCTCTCCGACATACCATGAACTACCAGCTGGAGGTATTCACAGTTGCAGCATCCTATGGCTCCATTCCTTCAGTGACCTCTTGTCTTTCTGGACTGGTATCTTAGTGGTTCCTGAGTTGAAGAGCCAGGCTCACGCTAACGTAACTGGAGGGGGAGGAGAAGGAAGTGTGCTGGGATTCAGGCAGTTACAATGCTGGAGGAGTTTTGTGGTGCCCAGCAAGCACTAAGGACACAAGGACCTACTAAGTAGTTGGACCTAACTACCTAGCTTTTGGGTGTTCTTTTGGCCTGAAAATGCTATGAAAACATTACCGACACACTCGGGGTGCTGTGACTTGAAAGTTGGGAATGTCTGGCTTATATCCTTTTCCTCCCATCGGATTCCTGCTGCTCTGGTCCCTTCCCGTTGTTCCTTTCCTGCCTGGATGGTGACAGCGGCCTCCTTGGGTGCTTCTCTGTTCTGTTGCCTAGTCTGTTGCCCTCTGACCTCAAATGAAGATTGGGTTGTTTTTCTTGCACCTAAAAGCCTTTAGTAGCCTTTCTTCACCTAAAAGATAGGTTGGTTTAAGCTCCCTAGCTTAGTTAAAAACTCCATGATGTGGCCTTTACTCAGGCCTTCTAGGTTGTCTGCCACCCCTGCTCTGCAGACCACTCCTCGTCACCGTGGCATTCACGCACCATCCACCTTTCATTGCTGGAATGCCTTTCCTCTACTTCCTTTGCTTGGGAAGTTCTCCCTTCAAGGCTTACTTCAGGGGCTGCCTCCCTCATATTTATTTTATTTTTAAATATTTATTAGAGAGAGAGAGAGAGAGAGACACGCACACACACGAGCCAATATAGAGGTGGAGGGAGGGGCAGAGGAAGAGGGAGAATCTTAAGCAGATACTCCCCTGAGCACAGAACCCAACAGGGGGTTGGGGGTTGGTGCTTGATCTCATGATGCCATGATCATGACCTGAGCAGAAATCAAGAGTCAGACATTCAGCTGACTGAGACACCCAGGTGAGGGGCTTCCTCCTTTAAAGAAAACTTTTCATCCTGGTTATATTTTCTATCCAGAAACGCGGATTTCTGAAATTCTCCTATTGTTGCCATTGCATCTGTCACCCTGTACAGTGATGACCTGTTTCTGGATCTTTCTCCAACTTTGCTGTAAACACTGTGAAACTAGGGATCCTGCTTTCATCCTCTTTGTCCTCTAGTACAGTGACCATGTCTAGAACAGAGGATACACTTTTTAAAATGATAATTAGAAGACAAGACTGCTTACCATAGCTGGTACACGACAGAAATCTTATTTTAATGCTTTATTTTCCAATATGCTGAATGTAGTTTGAATTTTTCAGTGTTAAGAACCAAACAGTGAGGGGCGCCTGGGTGGCTCAGTGGGTTAAAGCCTCTGCCTTCAGCTTGGGTGGTGGTCCCAGGGTCCTGGGATCGAGCCCTGCATTGGGCTCTCTGCTCAGGGGAGAGCCTGCTTCCTTCTCTCTCTCTGCCTGCTTGTGATCTCTGTCTGTCAAATAAATAAATAAATAAATAAATCTTATTGGGGCGGGGGGGGGGGAGAACCAAACAGTGAGATATTATTGCTAATTAAATGTATAAAGGACAGTTTGACCATCAGCTATTCAATACTTTCTTTGCAAGTGGACACTGAGTAAAGTATTGTATGGTCTTTGATGTTTAATTAAGATAATTTTTTGTGTTTATACCTGTATCCATTTGGACCGCTTCTTAAACACATACAGTTGCCTGAGGCTAAGCTAATAAGGGACCAGGTGACTGGAGTTCAGGGGAAGTAGCAGGACAGAAATACTGCCAATTCTTCCTTGTCATCATTTAAGAAGTAGATTTCCTTTATTTATTTTTTAAGATTTTATTTATTTATTAGAGAGCACGAGCAGTGATGGGGGGAGAAGCAGACTCTCCACTGAGCAGGAATCCCAGGACCCTGGAATCATGACCTGAGTCTAAGGCAGACGCTTAACAGACTGAGCCACCCAGGTGCCCCTTAAGAAGTAGATTTTAATGTCTTTCTCCTGTCTCCTCCCCATCTCCCCATAGAGCACCCAGGTAGAACTGAGCTTGATTCATAATTAGCACCACTTTCTCTTTTCCATATTCTTAGAAAGCATTCCAGTGATAGTCTTTTAGAGTTGCTTTTGCCTTTAAAATTAAGAATAATTTGGGGCACCTGGGTGGCTCAGTGGGTTAAAGCCTCTGCCTTCGGCTCAGGTCGTGATCCCAGGGTCCGGGGATCAAGCCCTGCATTGGGCTCTCTGCTCAGCGGGGAGCCTGCTTCCTCCTCTCTCTCTCTCTCTGCCTACTTGTGTTCTCTGTCTGTCAAATAAATAAATAAAATCTTAAAAAATAAAAAAGAATAATTTAAAAATAATCTCAAGTTTACAAAATGCTTAGAAAATTGTACAAAGAGTTCCTGTATACTCTTTCCTCAGATTTTCCAACTATTACCATTTGACCGATACGGTAAAATTAACTGTATTTACTCCCCCAACACCCTCAACCCTTACCCTCCATTGCTGGGTTTTTGCATTTGAGTCATTTAAGTGATGTCTTTTTATTCCTTAGTACCTCAGTGTAGATTTTCTAGAAACAAGGACATTCTCCTATGTTACCACATCATCAAAATCAGGAAATTATCATTGATCTAAATCTAATCTACAGACCTTATTCAAGTTTCACCTTTTATCCAGTAATGTCAGGATCTAATTCAAGATCACACATTGCATTTAGTCTCTCCTAGTCTTTCATAACCTTGGCATTTTTGGAGAGTACAAATTACTTTGTGGAAATGCCTTGCAATTTGGGTTTGTCTTATGATCCTTTTATTTATTTATTTATTTATTTATTAAAGTAGGCTCCGTGCCCAGCACGGGTTGAACTCATGACCCTGAGATCGAGAGTCAGACACTTAACCGACTGAGCCAGGCAGGCGCCTCTTAGGATTCTTTTGATTTCTGTATTTTTGAGGAGGCTACGCCAGATGCGTCATTCTTGCTGCATGATACTAGGAGTTACAGGTTGTCCATGGTAACTTTATCACCTGGTTCAGATGTTGTCTGCATTCACTGATTTCCTTATGAACTCATTGTCCAGATTTGACTAAAAGGTGATCCAGGCTGATCCTATGCTTTCCTGCTTCTATCCCTGGAGCCTGCCTTTTCTCCAGGAAGCCCTGGTTTCTTTCAGTAGAGGGTATTTAGAAACCAGTTCTGGGCATTATGTGTACTAGGATATTGTTGCTTCTAGGCCCACTCATCAGACAGAGTCAAGAAATACATGTATATATACATATACACGTACACATAAGTCCATATTTCTATAGCTACATGCGTATATTAGAAATATTAGCTCATATTGATGCCTCCAGTTCCGTTATCCTCAGTATATATATGTACTGAGCGCCTCCTATAAA